GGGGGGGGGGGGAGGGAGGAAGGAAGGAACACAGCACGGTCCCCCAGACGTGGCCACTGTCCCCAATTGAGTGTTCTCTGTCCCCTGATGGATTCTGTGGCTCTGCCACTGCAAGCAGGGCCCTCCCTGAGCCAGGCCAGGTTCTGGGCATGTTCGCCTGTGAGGGACAGAGAGCTGCTCTCGAGGCTCCGTCCAGAGCCTTCCCCCGCCGCCACTCAGACGGGGGTTGGATGGTGACGCAGGAAGGAGCAGCAGTGACTTAGCCATCCCGGGTGGTTCAGTTCGTTTCTTTTTTTGGAGACACGGTCTTGCTCTGTTGCCCGGGCTGGAGTGCAGTAGCGTGACTTCAGCGCACAGCAGCCTTGACCTCCTGGGCTCAAGCGATCCTCCCACCTCAGCCTCATGAATAGTGGGACTGCAGGGCGTGCCACCACACCCAGCTAATTTTTGTATTTTTTGCAGAGATGGGGTTTAGCCATGGCATCCCTTTAGTAGACCAGCCCAGGCTAGTTTTGAACTCCCGGGTTCAAGCCATCCACCTGCTTTGGCCTCCCAGGGTACTGGGATTGCAGGTGTGAGCTGCTGCAGCTGGCCCCCTTCGTTCCTTTCTCCCCTTTTTTTCTGGGGACTTGAAGGTGAGAGCCTCACGTGGCTCTGGCTACAGCAGCAGGGATGACTTGTCCCTCTGACTTGGGCCCCCCAACCCCTCCTCTGTCTGGGAGTGAGCTGGGGATGGTGTGGTCACCAGGGCTGGGGGTCTTTGTCCTGTGACCACTCCCACAAGTGATAGTTTAGGGACCAAAATTCAGTCTTGGGGACTTGTCAGAAACACACATTCCTGCATCCCACCCTGTTCGACTGACTCAGAACCGTGGGGGGCAGGAATTGCCTGCATTTTAGGCGGATCACCCCAAACACAGGCTCCGGTGCCCGGGGCTCTGCTGTGGGAGTGTGTTTTTCTAAGTCCTGCATTTCCGTTTCGTCCCTGGGCGTGACGTCCCACTTTCTCCAGGAGACTTTGCAGTCACGGCATCAGGCAGTGGCGCCATCTCAGCTCACGGCAACCTCCACCTCCCAGGTTCAAGCCATTCTTCTGCCTAAACCTCCCCAGTAGCCAGCATTACAGGCGTGCACCACCACACCTGGCTAATCTTTTGTATCTTTCGTAGAGATGGGGTTTCACCTTGTTGGCCAGGATGGTCTTGATCTCCTGACCTCATGATCTGCCTACCTTGGCCTCCCAAAGTGATGGGATTACTAGTGTGAGCCACCACAACCAGCCAAGGCTCAGATTTTACACTGGAGCCAGAGTGCCCTTTGTCCCCACTGAGTCTCAGTGACTCAGTGTCACCTGGGGAGGGAAGGGGAGGGCTTGGCGAGGTCGGGTCCCAGTGGTCTGACTTGCAGCCCCTCTCTCTCAGGTGGCAGCAACGGCCCCTTTCTGTGTGGGAAGCAGACCACGTTTGAAGGAGGGATGAGGGAGCCTGCCCTTGCGTGGTGGCCGGGACACATCGCCGCAGGCCAGGTGAGTCAGCGTCAGCCTGTCTGCTGGGCGGCAAGTCCAGGCCTGTGGTCATGCTAGGGTGCGAGCCCCTCACTGCCCACCTCCCCAGGCACCCCCATTCTCATCCTCATCACCCTCCACCCCCCACACCCCCAGGCTCATCCTCACCACCCTCCACCCCCCCCATACCCCATGCTCATCTGCACTACACCCCACCCCCCACTCACCCTGTGCTCATCCTCACCACCTTCTACTGCCCCCACACCCCCATGCTCAGTCTGACCAGGGGGGTGCCCTGGGCTCTGTTGGGTGGAGACCACGGTGGTGGCCCGGGCTTTTGGGCTGGAGACCCTGGGCTCTGGCTGGATGAGGGTGCTTCCCGGTATCTCAGCCTGACCACCTTCATGCTGTGTGCTGTGTTTCCCCCGGCCCAGGAACCTGCCCCTTAGCCGAGAATTACAATGCAGTCGTCTCTAACTGGGGCACTTGATCCAGGCATGCCCTGAGACACACGTGGCACTGAGTCTGAGGTGTGTGTGTGAGCGAGCGCTGTTTCTGAGTCAGTCTGTTGCCCTCCCGATGCCTCTGGAGGCGGCTGGGACATCATACAGGACGACAGCCAGGGTCGACCTGGGGCTTGGGCTGAGTGTGTGGGGCCAGGTCCTTCTGGAGACTCCAGGAGAGAGTCTGTTCCCTGCCTTTTCCAAATCCCAAGGACCACCCATTCCTGAGCTCCTGGCTCTCCCGCCTTCGAAGCCAGCAGCATGCATCTGTCCCTGGCTTTCCTGTTTCACTTCTTTTTTTTGTTTGTTTGTTTGAGATGGAGTCTTACTCTGTTGCCTGGGCTGGAGTGCAGTGGCACCATCTCAGCTCCCTGCAACCTCTACCTCCTGGGTTCAAGCAGTTTTGCATCAGCCTCCCAAGTAGCTGGGACTACAGCCTCATGCCACCACGCGCAGCTAATTTTTGTGTCTTTAGTAGACACGAGGTTTCGCTGTGTTGGCCAGGGCTGTGTCAAATCCCAAAGTGCTGGGATTACAGGCTTGAGCCACCACACCCAGCCCGTTCCACTTTTAAGGACCCTGTGGCTGTATCCCACCTGCCCCCGCTTCCCCCAGGTTGGCCTCCCTGCTTCGAGGCTGATGAGCAGCCTGCATTATGTCAGCCGCCTTTAACTGTCTGGGTTGGTCACTCGTCTGCAGGCGCAGGATTGGCTGCTGTTCTGCCAGGTCCTCCTCTTCCCCACTCGTTCCACACATCAGGACACCGAAACCCAGAGAGGCAGGCGCTTGTCAGGGCCTCCCAGCTACTAGGGCCGGAGGTGGGAGCAGCTGCCAAGTGTCTGGCCGTTGAGCCTGCCCTCCTGCCACCATGCCTGGGCAGTCCCCTGGGTCCCCAGCAGCCAGTGGGACTGGGGGATGGCACCTGCCAGGGGCAGCTCGTCTCTGCAGCTGACTGGGCCTGCCTCCTCAGACCCTCTGCCCAGGGCAGTCTCTGTCTGACATGGGGCTCCTGGGCCACCCCAGCTTCCAGGTCCCTGACGGTGGAAGGACCCCCACGGTGCATGGAACAGGCAGCTGCGGCTACCTTTGAAAAGCAAAGCGGCCATGGCAATGACTGCCTTGTGCAGAAGTAGGGGTGGCAGGCACAGGCTCCTGCGTGCTGTGGGGTGCACCTAGGACAGGCTGCAGCTGCCCACCCCCTCCGCTCGCCTGAGTGCCTTCACCCCGAGGTCAGGGATGGGCGTTTAGCCTTGTGTGGAGATACCTGCAGGAGTGGCCAGTCATCGTTCAGTGGATGTCGTGACAGTGATGTGAGACTCAGGGCCCGCTCGGGTCTGGGAGGCACGGACGCTGTGACGATGACGTGAGACTCAGGGCCCGCTCGGGTCTGGGAGGCACGGACGCCGTGACGATGACGTGAGACTCAGGGTCTGCATAGGTCTGGGAGACACGAGGCTTCCTACTGTAGCGAACACCCACCGGGCCAGGCTGGCGCTGGAGCTCTGCAGGCGCCACCCATAGCTGTGCTCAGTGGCACGCCTGAGAAAGGTGAGGGGAGCTGCCCCGTCAGGCCTGGTTCGAGGCCCCCCTGCCATTCACAGGCCTTGTGACTCTGCTCAGTCCCTGCCATGAGCGTGTGGTGTGTGAGCATGGGGCATGTGGTGCGTGAGTGTGTGGCGTGTGGTGCGTGAGCGTGTGGCATGTGGTGTGTGGTGTGTGGCATGTGGTACGTGAGCGTGTGGCACGTGGCATGTGGCGTGTGGTGTGTGAACATGTGGCGTGTGAGCATATGCACCTGTCTATAGACCCACCTGGGCAGTGGGGCTCTCGCCCTCCTGGGGACTGGCTCCCAGCCCCTCAGGTCGGGGCATAGTGCCTTGAGCATGCTGCCACCATGTCTGTTTTAGGTGAGCCACCAGCTAGGCAGCATCATGGACCTGTTCACCACCAGCCTGGCCCTCGCAGGCCTGACACCGCCCAGCGACAGGGCCATTGACGGCCTCAACCTCCTCCCCGCCCTCCTGCAGGGCCAGCTGATGGACAGGTTGGTGCTAGACCTGCCCCAGCCCCTTCCCTGATCCAAGTGGCGAAGCCCAGAGCCGCTGACCAGGCCCAACCCCAGGCCCAGCTGACCCTCATATTTCTGGACACAGGCGTGCTCATGCCCAGGACAGAAAGAGGTGGGGGAGCCTGTGCTGAGAGGACCTGGGGACCTGCCTGTGGGGTGGGGTCCATCCTGGAAGTGTCCAAGCACAGCGAGGCCCTGGCTCTCAGAAAAGCCTTAGGAGGGCAAGGCCAGGAGATGGGGGAGAGGCCGGGAGGGGGGTGGGGCCAGGAAAAGGGGCAGGGGTGGGAGAGGCGGGGCCGGGAGAGGGGGGCAGGGCTGGGAATGGGGCCTCATCCCTGCCTGCACCCCAGCCACACACCCGCCCCTGCCCACCCCAACTTTGTTCCCCACTGGGCTTTCAGTGCCTCATGGCTGCCTGTAGCTTCCCTCTGCTGAGTCCATGGCTAGCTGCTCCCGCTCTTACCTTCCGTCCATTTCCTATCCCGAGAGCAGCCACCATTCTGCTCAAACCACGTTTCCTGGGTGGCTCTGAAGGGACGAGGATTCTAAAGTTTCAACAGTAAACAGAAGGTGGGGACGGCTGCAAGGGCAGCATGCCACCTCTGGCTTTTAGGGGAGGAGACGGGGGATTTTTCTCACTTGTCTCCTCTTGAGACCTGGCCCCAGTGCTTGCTCACTTCGGAAAAGACGGTGCACAGCTGCGTTCCCCGCTCCCTGTTCCTGTCCTGCAGGCCTGTCATGGTCTCGGAGATGGGGACCCCGTGCCACCAGCTTTCTTCTTGCCTGTCCCCCCTCCCCAGGGCTGGCCTGGCCTCGTCAAACACCCACAATGAGGGGACACCCAGGGACCCAAGCTTCGGCCACTTCATGGGCCTTTTCGCTTTTCAGTCATCATTGTAAAATATCAACCAAGGCATGAGCAGCCGATGATGGACACAGCCCGGAGCCCCAGGTGACCCAGCATGTCCTGCCTGCTGTTACATGGTCCTCCTCTCCCGTTCCACAGGCCTGTCTTCTACTACCGCGGTGACACGCTGATGGCAGCCACCCTCGGGCAGCACAAGGCTCACTTCTGGACCTGGACCAACTCCTGGGAGAACTTCAGGCAGGTACGAGGCTCTGGCTGCGAACGCAGGCAGAGCTGCTTCCATCCCTGTCCGTACGTGGCCTCTGAGTGCCATCCTGGGGAGGTGCAGGAGGGTGAGACAGGCAGGATTCCACCTTCCACAGCCACCTCTGCGTGGCCCAGGGCCTGGCAGCTGACAGGCTGGAGTCCAGGGAGGGACCCTGAGGCACAGCTACAGACGTGGCACAGACCCTGGTTAGGTGCCCCCCCCCCTGGCCTCTCCACCCTGCCAGGACACCTGAACTTTCTCTAACAGGGGCGTGGTCTGCTTGGCCCAGGTGCTACTGAGGGTCTCAGCATCTGCATCTCCACACCAGCTCTTAGCATGGGAGGGGAGATACAGTGGGCACAGGCTCCTGCCACCCCGGCCCCCAGCAGTGTCGGTGCTGGCCTTTCTCCCCGAGAGCCTCCACCTTGAGCCTCCTGCTTCCTCCCTGGGGTCTTCTCTGGCTCCGGCTAATCCCCACGCTCCAGCATCCCCCACCGCCTCCTGAGGGGTCTCTCTCAGCCCCACCAATTCCACTACCATAGGCTTGACATATGAATACCTTGCTCACGTGCCATAATTGGGAAGAAAATCATGTAGTTTAATGGGGAAATCTAAAGACTAGAAGTGAGGACTGGGGCTGAGGACTGAGGACCCAGGCTGAGAAGTGGAGCTGTTTCTCAGCTTTTTGTAAGAATACAAAAATTAGCTGGGCGTGGTGGCAGGTGCCTGTAGTCCCAGCTACTCTTGAGACTGAGGCAGGAGAATCATTTGAACCCGGGAGGCAGAGGCTGCAGTGAGCCAAGTTCACATCACTGCATTCCAGTGATAGATTCCGTCTCACAAAAAGACAAAACAAAACGAAAACCGAGCTGCCCAGAGGGAGGGGCCTGGCATGGCTGCAGCTGCCTGTCTGCAAGGAGGGCCCAAGGGGGCCACAGCTGAATGCAGGAAGGGAACCTGGGGTTTTCTTTCTTTGCATTTTATGATATTTTAAGTATATCCAATTAAACACATAACTTTAAACATAAAATTTTTCTTGAGACTGAGTCTTGCTCCGTTGCCCAGGCTAGAGTGCAGTGCAACCTCAGCTCACTGCAGTCTCCAGCTCCAGAGTTCAGGCAATTCTCCTGCGTCAACCTCCTGAGTAGCTGGGATTACAGGTGTCTGCTACCACACCCAGCTAATTTTTGTATTTTTAGTAAAGACAGGGTTTCACCATCTTGGCCAGGTTGGTCTCAAACTCCTGACCTCAGGTGATCCGCCCACCTCGGCCTCCCAAAGTGCTGGGGTGACAGGCGTGAGCCACCCTTCTGGGCCTAGACACATAATTTGGGCATAAAAAGAAAAATCAGAATTTACGTTTTCCAGCCTAAGAGCAGATAAAAGTGGGCCCCTGTGATGTTTTTGTCTGTCATGGCCAGTGCTGGGGAAAAGCTGCTTTCCTGTGTGGGTGTCAAGCCTGTGACCTGTTGTCCCTGTCCTGCTCCACAACCCCACAAGGTGCGGCTCGGCAGGCCAGCCCGTGGCCAGAGCCCCATGGACGTGCCCGTCTTGTGGGCCCCAGGGTCCTCTTGGAGGCATTGACCCTTGGTCTCTGGTGGCTGGGCAGCCTCACAGATGATGGAGAACCTCCGGTTCCCGTCACGTGGCTGAGTGGGTCAGATGGGAGCCCATGATGGACAAACACCCTTGGTGGTGTGGGGTTGCGGTGGGGGGACTCTCCAGTTCTCCCCAGGGCTTCGTGGAAGACACGAGCAGCATCTAACAGTTCCACACCCGATGCCCCTGTCTTCCTGGGCAGTGCCATGCTCGGCCTTGGCACTGTCGCTGAGCTGAGGCTGCATCTCTGTCTGTGAGCACCTGCCAGCTGTGCATGACAGTTTTGTCACCTCCTGGTGATACTGATCTCGAGAGCTGGTGGAGGGCTCTCATGGATTTGCTCCCCAGGGAGGGGCAGGCCCAGCAGGAAGCCCTCGGGGGCCCCGGGGTTCTCACCCTTCCATCATTTGGGTCGGATAGTTTGGAGTTAGTTGCTTGCCGCTGTCAGATCCGGGGAGACCATCCAGCAGCCGGGCCTCAGTCCATGTCAGCCTCATGGGCAAAAGCGAGAGCCGCTGGCCCGTGCCACTGCGCTGCAGCCCACAGCAGGTCTGCCCAGAGCCCACGTGACGGGGGGGCGGCACTGGGGTTCTGGCAACAGGTCCCTGGTCCACACTCACAGCCAGGTGGCAAAGAGCCAGGCACCCCAGGTTCACCTGGGAAACTTCAGGCCCAGGCCCAGTCACTGTGTGGGCCGCAGCTTTTCCCTGTGGAGGCCCCGGGTCCTCGGGTTCTTTGCCACTGCTGCCACCTCCCATTGTGACAACACTAATGCTTTTCTTCCAAATGCTGGCCCTGTCCACTGTCTTCCCTCCCAAGGGCCAGTGAGGCGCAGCCAGCTCAAGCATCATAGACAATGACAGGCATGTGTCCCCGGAGCTGCCCGCCCAGGGCCAGTGGGGTCTCTCCTGGGTGGTCCACGTAATGGGGGTGTCTGCTCAGAGGTCACACTCTGCATCCTGGGCCAGCCACACTCTGACAGCTCAGGCTGGCATTGTCACAGCTCAGTGCTGTGTGCTGATCCGCCATCCCCTGGTCCCAGTCACCCGAAGGGACCTTGCTGGTGTCCATTCTGAAGGCTAAGCCTGAGAACCAGCTGGGCCTGGAGAGTCCTCAGTGTGACCTGACCATGGGCCACTGCTCCTAGGATCCCTCTGCTGGCAGATGCCATGTAGACCCCGCACCCCCAGCCCTCTGCCAGCGGGGTCCTCAGCACCTTCTATTCTGGGCTGTCTGGAGGAGGGAAAGATGCTGTGAGGAGGACCACAGCCATGGATGGGGTGTTAGTCCTGGGGCCAGGCTGGGCGGGGTCGAGTTCCTTCTCCCAGCAGAGTGGCCTTTGAGCTGGAGCCTGGCCAGCACCTGCCGGGTTAGGTGGCAGGAAGGTCAGGCTGCACACCAGCCCTCACAGGTCACCATGGCTGCTGCATTCTGCAGACACTGCAGGCCCTCTTCTCATGGCACCCCAGGCTCCTCCTCTGCCCACCTCAGGCTCAGACCTTGATCCCTGCAATGTTCTGCTTCCTCCAGGACCCCCTCCCACCTGGAGACCCAACTGCTGGCAGCCAGCCCCCAGCCTACCCCAGCCATCAAACCAGCCCCCAGCCCATCCCGGCCATCCAGTCAGCCCACAGCCCACCCCGGCCGTCCAGTCAGCCCACAGCCCACCCCGGCCGTCCAGTCAGCCCCCAGCCCACCCCGGCCGTCCGACCAGCCCCCAGCCCACCCCGGCCGTCCGACCAGCCCACAGCCCACCCCGGCCGTCCAGTCAGCCCCCAGCCCACCCCGGCCGTCCGACCAGCCCCCAGCCCACCCCGGCCGTCCGACCAGCCCACAGCCCACCCCGGCCGTCCAGTCAGCCCCCAGCCCACCCC